CATGCTTGTTATGCATCGATAGATTGTAGAACTCGAGCAGTCAAGTTTCAGTTTCCGAATAAGCTAGTCTTAGATTGGAGTAGTAGTTCAGCAGTGCCTAAGGGTCGTTTTATTTCGTACCTTAAGGCGAGAAAGTTAGTTTCAAAGGGTTGTATCTATCACTCTTTCAACTCTTTCAACTCTGTTGGTGCCATTCTATATGGCGGAATAGAGATAGGACGAGTATCTAGAATGAGATCTATGCCGAAATTTATTTCTCTCACAGGAGGAATTCCGGGTAGATCATCAGGAAAAACTTCTGGAAACTCTCTTACTATAGGAACTGACTGGAAAGGAGGTATCTCAACACTAGAGTCATTAGCTCAGACATGCTGATTTGTCCCCAAGAGTTATTAATAATCTTAAATATGCAAGAAAGGGGAAAACGCAAGGAAATGGAGAGGTTCCTCAACCTATTAGATTGCAACCCAAGAGAGGAAGAGGGTCTCAGCCAATGAAGAAATGATGAAAGCATTTATATGGAATATTAGATATGTTAAGTCACGAAAGGCTTTTCAGAGAGTACAGATGTTGAACAAATACCATAAATTTTCTTTCATAGCACTTCTTGAACCTTTTCAACACACTAGGCACATAAACAGATACAGAAGCAGACTACATATGCCTTTAATGTTTCACAACTGTAATGGCAAAATTTGGTTGCTTGTGAACCATAGTTTTACAGCTACTTAGCTACTTTGATTAGTGATACTGAGCAGCAGTTATCCCTGAATTTGTGCAGCCAGACACTTGGTATTTCTTTCTTGGTGCCTATTGTTTATGCAAAGTGTGATAAAAATCTGAGGATGGTGGGACGATATTCTTTCTCTGTCCAATGGAATCAGCAGGCCCTGGATCTTAGGAAGAGATTTCAATGCTGTTTTGAATGGTGCAGAAAAGATAGGAGGGATCCCAGTGGTTGCTGCTGATGTTGAAGATTTCAATAATTGTGTTGAAGCCTGTGATGTTTTGAAAATTCAATATAAGGGTAGCCCATTTACTTGGTGGAATGGTATAGCATGTGATGATTGCATCTTCGAAAGGCTTGATAGAGTTTTTTCGAACTTTGAGTTTCAGGGATTGTATTCTCATTTAGAAGTGGAACATCTGACTAGAGATGGCTCAGATCATGCCCCCCTGCTACTTAGCTGTGAGAACAGAAATAGCAGGCTCCAAAGGCCTTTCAAATTCTTAAAGTTTTGGACAGAGCATGAAGATTTCAAAGAAATGGTTAGGAGGGGTTGGGATTCAAGCTTTACAAATAACCCTTTTCTTGACTATAAAAGGAAGATCAAGCAGGTGAAAAAGGCTCTCACTATATGGAGTAGACAGACATATGGGGATGTCTTTCAACAACTACTCATCAGGGAAGAGATAGCCAAACTGAGAGAGAAACTATTTGAAGAGTTCCCCTCACAGGATAATAGAGCAGTCATGCAAAGAGCTAAAGCTGAGTACACCAGATATCTACATTTGGAGGAAAGCTACTGGCAACAGAATGCTAGATATGATTGGTTTGAAAGTGGAGATAGAAACACTAAGTTTTTCCACAGCATAGTGAAAGGGCAAAGAAATAGATTGAAGGTGACAAGAATTCTTAATGAGCAGGGTTGTTGGGTAGAGGAAGAAGACCAAATTGTTAATGAAGCAATAGACTATTATCAGAAACAATTTACTCAAGAGAGGGATGCATCTGATTTTCCACTATTGCATCACATTCCAGAACTAGTTACAGAGGAAGACAATGCAGTTTTAGGGGCAATACCAGATGAATCAGAAATAAGGAAGGCAGTTTTCAGCTTAAATGGTGACAATGCTTGTGGTCCAGATGGATTATCAGAAAGGTTTTTTCACTCTTGCTGGGATATAGTAGGTGTTGATGTGGGTAGAATGGTGGCAGAGTTCTTTGCAGGAAACACCCTCCCAAAGTCTATTACTCATACTAATCTAGTACTCATCCCGAAAAAAGACAATGTGCAGTCTTTTTCAGACCTGAGGCCTATTAACTTGAGTAACTTTGTTAATAAGATTTTATCAAGAATTGTACATGATAGATTGGAGAATATTCTTCCCAAATTGATTTCTCCTAACCAATCTGGTTTTGTCAAAGGGAGAAATATCATTGAGAATGTGCTCTTAACACAGGAATTTGTTGCTGATTTAGGGAAAAGAGGAAAACCTTCTAATGTAATCTTGAAGCTGGATATGGCCAAGGCTTATGACCGAGTATCTTGATTTTTTTTTAATGAAGATTCTTAGAAAGATGGGTTTCTGTAATGGGGTAGTAGATGTGATTTGGAGATTGATATCTAATAATTACTACTTTATTCTGTTAAATGGCCAATCCGTTGGTTTTTTTCATTCTACTAGGGGGGTTAAACAAGGGGATCCCCTTTCCCTGCTTTATTTATCTTATCTGCTGAAGTTCTAACCAGAGCTCTTAATCATTTTTTTGAAGATAATGCCTTTATGGGTTATGGTATGCCTAAGTGGAGCTCAAACCTTAATCACTTAGCATATGCAGATGACACTATCATTTTTGCCTCATCTAATAAGCACTCTATTGGAAAGATTATGATGATTTTGCAGGAGTATGAGCAGGAATCAGGGCAAAAGGTGAATAAGGATAAGAGTCTCTTCTATATGCATCAAAATTCTCCTATGGAGGTTGTGCAGCAGATGGAATTGGATACAGGAATGGCCAAATGATCTTTTCCTCTTAAGTACCTAGGATGTCCCATTACACATTCAAAGAAAAAGAATGAGCACTATGATGATTTGTTGGACAGAGTAAGGACTAAACTCCAAGCTTGGAAGGGTAGGCTTTTATCATATGGAGGAAAGGAGGTTTTACTAAAAAAATGTTCTACAGAGCATTCCAATTTATGTTGTTTCAGCTATTGTTCCTCCTAAAAGTATTTTTAAAGAATTACAAAGAATATTTGCAAAATTCTTTTGGCATTCCAAAGAGACAGGAAGGATCAAACACTGGTGTGCATGGAATATTGTTTTTTTGCCAAAGGATGAAGGGGGTTTAGGGTTCAGATCCTTAAAAGATGTTTCTCAAGCAATGTACGCTAAGTTGTAATGGAGGTTCAGGACACAAACTAATTTGTGGTCTAATTATTTATGAAATAAATACTGCAAGAAACAGACTCCTACATTGGTATGATGGAAAGGTGGATCTCAAGTGTGGAAAGCAATGTTGGAGAACAGGGAAAAAATTGAGTCTTTTTTGTGGTGGGAACCAAGAAGTGGAACCTCAACAGTTTGGTTTGATAACTGGACCAATTCTGGTCCTATATTTCTTCATTCAACAGAGGTACAATCTTGCCACCCTATAAATGATGTTGGTGATTTCTTTAAAGATGATGGTTGGGATTATGGTGCAATGAAAGATGTAATCCCAGAACATGTCATTGAACATGTTCGAGATACTATGGGATTTGCTCAATTTGAGAATGTAATGGACAAGCCATGGTGGCCTTAAAATAGTACTGGCAAATTCACTACTAAGAGTGCTTGGGAAATTTTGAGGCAAAGAGCAGATGTAAATGAAGATCTAAAGGCAATATGGAGTAAAAGATTAACCTTCAAATTCTCTTTTCTTTCTTGGAGAATCTGGTTGGGTAAGGTTCCTGTATCAACTCTTTTGCATTTGTGGAATCCTAATATCTCTGAAGATTGTGGATGTTGTGCTAATCCAGATAGAAAAACAATAGAACATTTATTTCTCAAAGGAGAGGTGGCAGATAGAGTGTGGACTCACTACTGTAGGGCAGCGGGTATTATTGATCAAAGATTTAACTTGAAGCAAAGTGTGAGAATGTGGAGAAATATTGAAGGTAATAGTAAGCTACGAGAAGTTTTCAAGGTACTTCCTATCATCCTACTCTGGTTTTTGTGGAAAAGAAGAAATACAATCCTACATGGTGGCTCATACCACGAAAGGAAGGTGTACTGGGAAGTTAATGACACTATTTTGATGTTTGTTAAGGCCAGATTCAATTTAAATATACAGGGGAGAAGATGGATAGATATTATTGATGCTTTGCAGAACAATAGAACTGCCTATGTAACCAGAATTGTAAAATGGGTTCCCCCTCCCAATATCCTTGGTTTAAAGGTAACACTGATGGTGCCTCAAGAGGGAACCCTGGACCTAGTTCTTTTGCTTTTTGTATTAGAAATGGGGAAGGAGACTTGGTAGTTGCAAAAGGCTCAAGAATTAAGGACACTACCAACCTTAAAGCAGAAGTTTCAGCAATAAGAGAGTGCTTACTCTACTGTAAAGACAATGTTATCCAACATATCATTATAGAATCAGATTCTTGGATTATGGTGCAAATTCTTCAGGGGAACTGGGAGGTCCCATGGAGTGTGACAATGGAGGTCAACTCCATAAGAGCTCTCGCTGATTTTTTTACTAACCTAGTTTTTGATTTTGCAGGTGATTTTCAATTTAATTACTTTGGTGAAATTCCAACAACAGAAAGAAGGATACTAAATTTAGATAAAGAAGGAACACCACACATCAGAAGATCCAATCAAGAATCATGATATCAGAATTCAAGGAAGATACAACAATATTTTTGTAACGGGTTATGCAAAACAGTAACAGTAGGGTAACTTACTATAGATGTTGGAAGTTCCTGTTTATGGGCATTTACATCCGTTAGTTGGTGATCTCAGTGTTTCTGTTAGTAAATCCTGCAACAAAATTCAAATGGTTATCAAACACTCTCCCCTTGAAACGTTTTGATCGATTGGTGGTATTAGCTTAAAAAGCTCACTCCATTGACTTAAAATTTGATAAAAGAGGAATATAGAGTGGAAACCATTGGACTTACTGGAAAATGTTGCAGATGGTTTGAATCGAGACGTAGAACATTGACCATGTTTACAAAGTTTGCTTCACAGACAACATCGAAAACATGATGCAAAGAAGTTAATTTGTGCACTGGGTTCCGTTGTAACATTAGAGTAAGGAGTTACAATAAAGGAAAAGGTGATACCTACTGTTCGGAGTGATTCCATTGGATGCAAACACCTACACCCAGTGAGACCTTGGGGTGCTAATGGTAGGAGTATCCAAACAATAGATCCACCAATTCCGATATGTAGCTCTAACTATTAAGACTTGGAAACCTATTGGCATCATAAGGTCAATTTGTATTGTTTCTAAATCGATTCTTTTGATCTGATGGTGGTATTAGCTTCTTAGAAGCTCATTCCATCGATCTAAAGAAAAGAGGAAGAACAATTAAACACTTACCTTAGAGATGGAGCTTTGAGCAGATAGTTGAGGATGAGCATCGAAGCAGAGGAGGATTTTGCAAAACCAAGTTAACAGTAGAGCAAATCTTTTGAGGAAGATGAATGGGTGGAGCTTTCTACCTACTTTCCTAATTATGCAGATGTTTAGTCTCTTGCCTATATTTTTGTTTTGCTTAATTGTTTTGAGCCAGGTCACTTTTGGGCCTGGTCTGTTGTGAATTGATTTTATTTTAAGGGCTTAATGCCAGTTTTAAATTTAAAAAAGATATTTGATTTTTTTATTTTCTTAATATTTAATTCCTGACATGTAACTGAAAAATGACATGGAATTACATGAGTAAGAGGTTGGATTACAAACACAAAGATTTTATGAGAAAAAGGTTTAAAATATAGTGTTTTAACGAGTTTAAGGGTTTAGTTGACAAAATGTTAGGTAGGAGGGTTCAGAATACAAATGCATACAAGTATAAAAGTTCATCATATCATTTCCAATTATTAATAATAAGGGTATTTTTAGATCAAATTATAAGTGAGGTTATTTTTATTTAATTTTGCATAGTTTAAAAATAATTTTACCCTTTTCTGTATTATAAATCCTATATCTGTCCCTGCCTTTCTATAAACTCCTATATATTGTGAATGTGTGGATGTCACAATATGGTATGTGGATAGTATGTGTATTGGAGTGTTGAAATTGTGGAAATTGTGCACAGTTTGTGCAAAGTAGTGGATGGCTTGTGTCAGCCATTCACTGCCCATTTCACATTGCCTATATAAAGGCCTTGTACTTCATTTGAATGAGATAACGAATGAAGGAATAAATACAATACATTACTCTCTCTATTGTTCTTCTTTTAGTGTGTTAATCTTAGTTTGCTAAGTAATTATTTTATAACACGTTATCAGCACGAGTTTCTGCCAATTCAAGTAAAGACTTTAAAAGCCTCGAAGGTATAATTTTTTCTTTTGTAAATAATATCAAATCTTTCTAAACTTGAATTTCTTGCTTTAGACATATCGGGAAAAGGCTATCTATCATGGGTACTTGATGCAGAAATTCATCTTGATGCGATGGGTCTGGCAGACACCATCCAAGAAAAAAATCAAGCATCGAATCAAAATCGTGCTAAGGCAATGATATTTCTCCGTCATCACCTTGATGAGGGTTTAAAAAATGGAATATCTCACTGTTAAAGACCCTCTGGTGTTGTGGAATAATTTAAAAGATAGATATGACCACCTGAAGTTGGACGTCCTTCCACAGACACGTTATGACTGGATTCATTTGAGACTTCAAGATTTTAAATCTATTAGTGAGTATAACTCTTCCATGTTTAAAATCATCTCACAATTAAAATTATGCGGAGAAAATATCACTGACCATGATATGCTGGAGAAAACATTTTCCACTTTTCCTGCCTCGAGTATGCTCTTGCAGCAGCAATATCGAGAAATGGGATTTAAAAAATATTCTAGAATTAATTTCACATCTCCTTGTTGCTGAACAACATAATGACTTACTAATGAAAAATCATGAAAGTCGACCTTCTGGTTCTATGCCATTTCCTGAAGTAAGAAGAATGGAGAAGACCCACTTCCAACTTGGGGAAGATGAAATCCTTCTTTCTTTAAGTCTCCCAAAAGTCCTCTCCAAACTTGAGAGAAAATATCCAAAAAGTACTATTTTATTCTGGAAATTAAAATAAATGTTCGACTCTCTAAAAATTAACAATAAGTTTAGTATTTATAGTCTTCAAAAAATAGCGCTGGCGGATCTTTCGGCGAAGTTAGTCGATATCGTCAATTGACTCGGCGACTCGCCCTTCGTCTGTCTCATCGCCGTTCCATGCTTGCCTTCAGCATCTTCACGTTCTGGACCATTGGGCGGTATAATACTGCTTTGCGGAACTATTCGGCGAAGCGCCGACTGCTCCTTTCATTGCCTTTTTGATCCTTCTCCTTCAACGACCTTTTATAGAGGAGAGGAGAGAGAGGTGAGAGGGAAAAATGAAGGGACGATTGTTTTAAACCATTTTAATTTTTTTTTTTGAATTTTGACAATTCAAAGTGTGACATATGTTGCCACATATATCCTTTCTATTGGGGCACATGCAGATAATTATGTGGTATTTTTTACAACAAAGGTTATATATGTTGCGACAGACACCACATTTCTTCCTTTCCATAATAATTGACATTTGTTCCAACAAAATAAAATAATAATAATAATCATTAATATTAATATTATCAGCAAAAATGAACAATTGGTGACAATCTAATGTGCCACATATCTCATTTTTGTGACATATGTTACCACATATCTTCTTTCTGTGACATATGTTGCCACATAAATCCTTTCTGTTGGGGCACATGCAGATAATTCTTTGGTGTTTTTCACAATAGAGGTTATATATGTTGCCACAGACACCACATTTCTTCCTTTCCATCATAATTGATATTGGTTCCAACAATAAAATAAAATAAAATAATAATCATTAATATTAATATTATCAGCAAAAATGAACAATTGGTGACAATATAATATTGCCACATATCTCCTTTTTGTGACATATGTTACCACATATCTTATTTCTATGACATATGTTGCCACATATATCCTTTCTGTTGGGGCACATGCAGATAATTCTGTGGTGGTTTTACAACAGAGGTTATATAAGTTGTCACAGACACCACATTTCTTTCTTTCCATCATAATTGACATTTGTTCCAACAAAATAAAAATAATAATAATCACTAATATTAATATTATCAGCCAAAATGAACACTTTACCAATTGTTTTATACAACTTATCAACAAAAAGGTAATTCACAGTGGTATACATAACCATCAATCTAATAAATGGTGGTAATACAACATTTTCATCGAACTTTGATTTTTTAGGTGGGTCTTCATTGTTACTAACATAGCTACTCCGAGCCTTTAAAATCCCATAGTTCCATAGGAGTGAAGCATATCTCATGCGGAAGGTTTCAGAACTAATTCCATAAGATGGTACTTGTAGTCCATCACTCAAAAATTCAACGTATGCAGCAACAAAAAGTCCACAATCTCTGCATGGTATATCATCAATTAGAAAATATAATAACATCATTTTTCAATAGTGGTAAGACAAAAAAATTAATGTGATACTTACAGACTATTGCTTGCTTGTTGGGCAATACCAGTAACATGTCTGACTTTGAATGT